ATTTTGATACACATATATAATGGGTAATGATCAAATCAAGATAGTAGCATATCCATTGCCTCAAACATTTGTCATTTTATTTGTGTTGGGAACATTCAAATTCCTTTCTTCTAGCTATATGAAAACATACAATAAACTATTAGCTATAACTGTTAACACTACAAAGCTATAAAACACTAGACTGTATTCCTCCTATCCAGCCCTGATTTTGTATCCATTAAACCCCTACCCTTCCCAGCCTCTAGTAACCTCTATTCTACTCTCTACTCCCATGAGATCCAATTTTTTAGTTTCTGCATAATGAGTGGGTACATGCGATATTTATCTTTTTGTACCTGCCTTATTTCACTAACCATAGTATCTTCCAGGCTTATCCATGTTGGCACACGTTCAGGATTATTTCTTTATGACTGAATAGTATTCCATCGTGTACATGTGCCACATTTTCTTTATTCATTAATCTGTTGATGGACACGTAGGTTGATTCTACATCTTAGCTATTACGAATAGTGCTGCAATAAACATGAGGGTGCAGATGTCTCTTTGAGACACTTCTTTGCTTTCCTGGATAAACGTCCAGGAGAGGGTTTGCTGGATCATGTGGTAGTTCTATTTGTAGTTTTTTGAGGAACTTCTGTACTATTTTTCATAATGACTGTTCAAGTCTAAATTCCAACCATCAGCATATGAGAGTTCTCTTTTCTCTGCATCCTTGCCAACATTTTTTTTTTATCTTTTTAATAATAAACATTCTAACGGGCAAGATATCATTGTGAGATGCTATCTCATTATGGCTTGGCTTTGCATTTTCCTGATAATTAATGATACTGAGCATTTTTCATGTATTTATTGGCTATTTGTATATCTTTTGAGAAATGTCTATTTAACATTTTTCCATTTTTAATCTAATTTTTTTTTTTTATTGCTGAGGAGTTGTTTCAGTTCCCTGTGTTATTCTGGATATTAATCCCTTGCCAAATGAATAGCTTAGAAATATTTTCTTTCATTGTACAGGTTGTCAATCCCTTGTCAAATGAATAGCTTACAAATATTTTCTTTCATCGTACAAGTTGTTTCAGTTCCTTGTGTTATTCTGGATATTAACCCCTTGCCAAATGAATAACTTACAAATATTTTCTTTCATTGTCAGGCATTGTACAGTGCCTCATTTTATTGATTGTGCTGTACAGAACTTTTAGTTTGATATAATCTCATTTGTCTGTTTTTGGTTTGATTGCCCGTGATTTTGAGGTCTTACCTATGAAATCTTGGCCCAGACCAATGTACTGAGGCCCTTCTGTTATGTTTTCTTCTAGTAGTTTCATAGTTTGGGGTCTTACACTTAAGTCTAATTATTTGTCAGTTGATTCTTATATGTGGTGATGGGGGTCTAATTTTACTTCTCTGCATATTGATATCCAGTTTTCCTAGCAGCTTTTATTGAAGAGATTGTCCTTCCCCAATGTATGTTTTCAGTGCCTTTGTCAAAAATCAGTTGGCTGTAAATATGTGGATTTATTTCTGGATTCTCTATTCTGTTCCATTGTTGTCTGTGTCTGTTTCAATGCCAGGTCTATGCTGTTTTGTTTGCTATAGCACTGTAGTATATTTTGAGGACAGGTATGTGTGATGCCTCAAAACTTGTTCGTTTTTCTCAGGATTACTTTGACTATTTAGGTCTTCTGTGGTGTCATATGAATCTCAGGATTGTTTTTCTATTTCTGTGACAAATTCCATTGGTATTTTGATAGGGATTGCCCTGAATCTGTAGATTGCTTTGGTTACCCTTAAATTTTTTTTTCGAGACAGAGTCTTGCTCTGTTGCCCTGTGCCTTTCCCACAATGCCAGGCTAATTCTTCTATGTTTGGTAGAAACTGAGTGTTGCTCTTGCTAAGGCTGGTATCCAACTTCTGCTCTCAAGCAGTCCTCCTGCCTTGGCTGCCCAGAGCACTAGGATTATAGTTGTGAGCCAATGGCCCCAGCCTAGTTATCCTTAAATTTTTAACACCCATACTTAACTGTTTTTCTGACAAAATCTAAAGATATTCAGTATCTCTCTTCTTTACCCAATCTAGAAAAGGAAGTACTTTAGCAATATTTAAATTTTTCGGTGGGGGCAGTGCAGGGTGATTCACGCATATAATCCTAGCACTCCAGAAAGCCAAGGCCAGTAGACCGCTTGAGCTCAGGAATTCGAGACCAGCCAGAGCAAGACCAAGATCTCATCTCTACTACAAATAGAAATACTAGCCTAGCAGGGTAGTGCAGGCCTATATCTAGAGGCAAGAATATCTCTAGAGCCCAAGAGTTTGAGGTTGCTATGAAGTATGATGATGCCATGAACTTTACCCAGGACGTCCATGTGAGATGCTGTCTCAAAAAAAAATTTTTTTTAGGTGGGGCACAGTGGTTCATGCCTATAATTCCATCATTCCTTCCATTTGGGAGGTTGCTTAAGGCCGGGAATTTGAGACCAGACTGGCAACAGAACAAGACCCCATCTCTGAAAAAAAAAAATTATGTTTAATTAGCTAAGTGTTGTGACCCATGGCTATAGTCTCAGTTACTCAGAGGCTAATGTATGAGGCATTTGAAATTGTGGTGAGCTATTTGGTGCCAGTGCATTCCATTCTGGGTAACACAGGGAGACACTGTCTCTAGGGGGGAGAAGTTGCTACTATGCCCCCATTTCCCAGTTGTATGCTTTTGAGAAAGCTATTTTCCCTCAATTTACCTCATCCATTTTTTCATCTGCAAAGTGGGAAAATAATAGTACTTAACTCATAGAGTTGTGAGATTAAAAATACATTAAAAACATTTTGAATAGTGCGTAGCATACACTGTATATTGTATTTGCTGAATAAGTGTTAGATGTTATTATTGTTGTACTTTTTGATGAAAGGATAGGTAACATAGAATAAGGGAACAGGATAAAGAGAACAGAAATAGAATGACACAAATATAGGTAACTTATTTGGTTTGTTTTTTTTTTTTTTGAGGTCACTTTGTGACCCTTGATAAAGTGCCATGGCATCATAGCTCACAGCACCTCAAATTCCTGGGCTCAAGTGATTCTCTTGCCTCAGCCTCCTGAGTAGCTGAGACTACAGATGCCCACCACAGTGCCCAGCTATTTTTAGAGAAAGGTTCTTGCTCTTGCTCAGGCTGGTCTCAGACTCCCGAGCTTGAGAAATCCGCCTGCCTCAGCCTCCCAAAGTGCTAAGATTACAAGTATGAGCCACTGTGCCTGGCCTAGATAACTGAGTTTTGACAAAGTGACAAAGGCAACCCATTCTAAAAAGATCATCTTTTCAACAAGTGGTGTAAAGCTTTGCATATCCATGTGCAAAAAAAAAAAA